CCCAGGAAGAAGCCTGGGGACTTCCTGTTACTCCTTTTTCTTCTGTCACAGTTACAGGGAGAGTACCAGCTTCTGGGCATAACAACTCATCACGTAAAATGCAGGGAAGGATAACAATCTTCATGCCAGAAAGAACTGAGTACGAAACTAGTTCTTTGGTGTTTTAAGGAACAAAGGGACCAAGGGCAACATTTCTGGGCTGAAGGTCAAGAAGCAAACTTTTTAGAAGTAGAGAATTGATAATACAACACATCTGTCAATATCAAGAAATCCACTGCAAAGTTAGAACCCAAAAGCTACATCATGCTTGAAGCCCCGCACATGTAAGCTGAACTATCACACTTCATCTGGCTCCCCCATCCTTTGTTAATGCTTGTTTTTATATTATGGGAAATGGATGTATGTATATTACGGGAAATGGAGTACTGCCCTCTGCTCTGATGGATCTGACCCTGACTTATGGGGGCAATGAAGGTCTCCACAGTGTCCAAGCTGTAAAATAACACCTGTTGCAGTGTCATTTGGATCAGTCTATGGCAGGACTATGCTTCCGCATTCAGCCTTTACTTTCTTTTATTAAACTGATTTTATCTCAACCTATAAAGTTTTTCATCTTATTCCCCCCTCCCGTGCTGCTGAGGGGGAGAGCGAGGGAGTGGGGGAGTGAGAGAGTGTGATGGTGGGGCAGCTTGGTGGGCATTCCACCACATAAGGTCATTCTGAAATTAGGGATTTACAGGTCATTTTTTCTGACCACTCTGTGAACATTCGGAGGCTGGGCTGTGGCAAACCACTGAAGTTGGTTGCCACCTGTATGAAACCCTGTAGGCATGACACTGCTTCTCTGCACCACCACAGAAGGTGCCATTAACACATTTAACATATAGACAAATCTGCTTATGGATATACAGATCATGAAGGAGATGAGGCAAGGAAGGAAGCTGAACCCCTTCCATCTCGCTCTTCTTGTCCTTCTACCACCTGCAGCACCAAGAGCTGTGTAACAGAACCATATAAAGGCAGAGAGGTCTTCATTGCTCAACCCCAGACTCCCCTTGGTCCAGAAAACATCTGTGTTCATCCCCTACTGAGCAAAGGCATGGAGTACTGCCCTCTGCTCAGATGCTTTGGGCTCTGATCCTATGTAATTTATCCCATCTTATCTAGCACTACCATAGATGATCCTGCTTCCCTCTAAATGGATGCTTTCATAGTTCATGAAAATACCTGCCTGAAAGAGGAAAACACCATCGGAAAAACATCCATGTTACATACAAAAAAAAAACCCAAACTCCAAATCCTCCTCATGTAATCACAGCCATTAACTCTTTCCTCTGGCCTATAAACATAATCTCTGATGAACTAAACTCCACCTACCTTGACTGTCTGTGTTGGCCACATACTAAAATGTTACATGCCATGCCTTTATCTCTCACAGCTTGGTATCAGTAAAATTGTGCCTTGTCTGTTTATTGTTTGCAAAGGTTCCACTAAGTCCCATTATTTCTCCTTGAAAGAACACATAAACACTAAATGGGACAGGGTGGAGAATGAAAGTCCTTTCCTGGCTAACACATTTCCCCCAAGCCCATCTGTCACCCTCAGAGCAGTATCAAACCACTGCTGCTAAGGAATAGTGTGAGGAAACTTGTGAGAGAGTATACTCTTTTATTTGAGGAAAAGAGAGGATGATCCAGGGATTTCACCAGTTCTTTTTATTTTTAAATAGAATGATTCATATTGCCTTGCAAGCACATCAACTGATTTAGAGAAAATTATTTGAACAAAAGCAACAATTATCCTCTTCACTCACTTTTGAGGATTTTTATTCTCCTGATAGAACACAACTATACCACCTTTGGAGTTGCTCAGGGTATATGAGTGAGAACCTCTTAAAATAGAAAAAATCATAAGACATTATTATTGTGAAAACAATGAGTCCTAATTTCAAACTTGAGTTAAAGCTGATTGGACTAGAATATTACATACAGACATAGGCTCTTTGTTAGGTTTTTGGTAGCTTCTTTACAACCCAACAACAAAGGCTACAGAATGCTAAGACACTGGTTGAACAAATGCCACAGAAATTGAAATGGATGTGAAAGATGATCTCTGATTTGGACACCTTCCAGATGAAAGCACTTGGCCCAAACTGAAGTCAGACAGTGTTTGCTTAACAGATTGCTTTTAAAAAGAAAAATACATATTAATCTTTTTCTCATTCAACCAAGAAAATATTCTTACCTAAAAGGAAGAGATTCCTTTGTCTGGGAGTGAAATATCAGATTTAGATGGCTCCGCTGACTGGCAATGAAGAACATTAGGCCTCCTAGCAACCTTCTTCAGCACTCTCCATATGCAGACTTGGCTACATGTTTCAACTGCCTACTGTACGTGACAGCCCTATACTTCAGGATACAACTGCATATGGAGTCTGTGTCTGGCATGCCTGAGTAGTAGGTGGTCTGAGTCGTTCATTACTCTCATGCCATCGGATCTGGGACAGGAAGTTAAGCAGTGTGAACAGAACTCTTGGCCATGCAATCGGAAGAGGAAAACGTTATCCTTTGTGCTCAATCCTTGAATAGTGTTTGCATCGTTTTCTCAATGTACAGTGAACTGAGATGCAAGCCTTCAAACAAGTCCTTTGAAATTCTCCAGGGGCTGCTCTTCCCAAACACTGTCTAGCCAGACATCATGGGATGTTCTTTTGCTGTCTGAAAATATCCCCCTCTTATTTTAATAAACCATTTTTTCCTATCTGTTTAAGAAATCACTTTTGTATCCTTTATGCTAAGACCCGTGTTAAAATATAATGATTTACACTGCATCTTGGCTAGGGCAGAGTGCTAGAGAGAACTTAGCCAGGCAGTAAAAATCTTCCGTTTAGGAAAGGGGGTGGTGTTTACCCTCATTAGTCAGTTTCTGAGGTAAAAAATGTTTTCTGCAGCAAAATGCCTCTGACAGCAAGTTTGTATGGTTCTGTTCCTGACTGTTCCTTGACTGCTTTTTTCTTTCTTTAGCAAAGACTGTATACCACATGTATGATTTGATATGCACGCAGGTAACCAGAGAACTAAGCCATTAGCTCCAGCATTGAAGAGAGTTTATTTCCAAATTCGGAAATGCTAGAACAGACTTCGAGAACTCACAGCCAGGTGGGAGAGAACACACACATCCCGCAGAGCTGGGCTCCTGCCTTATGTGTCAAAGGCCCAACAGATACGCAGAATTCCCTCTGGGCTGCTTTTTACAGTTTTCTCTTTCTCTTCTTATTTCCCCTCCCCTCAGTCAATGGGAAAGAATGCTTTGAAGTTTTACATAACCTGCAATTATCTCTCTTGATAGAAACGACATCTTTTTTGGCAAAAACAGCCAGAGGGAAAAACAGAATGTTGCTGCTTCCCACATTATTTCTTCTAGACTTAAACCTTCCAGCTGCAGAAGGTCTCTCGAGCAAAGGAAAATCCTTAAACAGCTCAGCTTTCCTCCTCGCCCAATTTCTTGTGCTTGTCACCCCTTGCCTCCCCACACGTGTCAAATTTCTGATTTATTTTTACAGCATTAAAAATGCAATGCATTTCACAAAAAAGATAATTTGTAACATCCGTTTTAATAGATCACAACTATCTTGACAGGACTTAGTAAGAATTTATATTTTGTCATGATTTTGACTAGTTGTCAAATTCACTCAAATATGGAGTTCTAGGTATGACATCACCTGGAAATAAAAAGAGAAACTTTGGTACTTACTGATTTTTGCATATGAAGAAATTTTTCATTAGGCAGACAGTAAGCATTAGCTACTGCACAGACAGTTTGTATCTATCAGTCCCCTGTTTGTTTTTGAGGGTGTTCCTTTTCCCCTCGCACAGGAAGCTTTGTCTGTATTTTGAAACCACCTCAATTCAACTGTATTAGTGTGGTACAAGCACTCAGAGACATTTTACACCCACACAAATACTGTGACACAGGAAGGCCATGTGCTAAGGCTTTTCTATATTAGCAGTAATATTTCTAAGCAAGAAGGAGTAGCAGTACACCCATAAAGCTGTAAAATTAATACAGGTGTGCATGTGTATACTGACATATACACTCCTACCTTGCTAAACAGATTTTCAGCCATTTATCAGCATGACTGGAACCAGATCACCTCCCCTACGAAGACAGGCTGAGAAAGCGGGGGCTGTTCAGCGTGGAGAAGGTTGTGTGGAGACTTTACAGCAATCTTCCAGTATCGGCAGGGCACCTCCAAGGAAGATGTAGAGGGACTCTTCATCAGAACTGTAGTGATAGGACAAAGTGGAATGGCTTCAAACTGAAAGACAGTAGGTTTGGATTAGATGTTAGGAAGAAATTCTTTGCTGTGACGGTGGTGAGGCACCGGAACAGGTTGCCCAGAGAACCTGTTGATGCCCCAACCCTGGAAGTATTCAAGGCCAGGTTAGACGGGGGCTCTGAGCAACCCGGTCTAGTGGAAGGTGTCTCTGCCGAGGGCATGGGCATTTGGAACTAGATGATCTTTAAGGTCACCTCCAAGCCAGACTGTACTATGATTCTATGATGTAGCACAGGGGCGGTGGGACTTGTGTGAACAAGCTGTGGGACTCTGACCAAACTTTTCAATCTCAAGAGACCGCGCGCAGGGCTCGGGGCCGACACCTCTACATGCTGACCAGCCCGCAAGTCCTCACTGGATTCAGGAAGCCGGGAAAACGACCCAGATCCCGACTGAAGAGACCGGCGGGCACAGGGACCGCACCGAGAGCCGTGACAGGTTGCCCGGGCCCCGCCCGCCGCTCCCGCCCCGCCGGCTGTGACGGCACCGGGCGCCGGGAAGTGCTTCCGCCTGCGCCTTCGCGGGGGACGCGGTGCCGCGGTCCCGGGAGTGCGGGGGACACGGCGAGGCTCCGCCGGGCCGGCTCGGCCGCGGCGGCTGCAGCCCGGAGCGGGGCCGGGGCCCGGGCCCGGTCGGGAGCGAGTGGGTCACTGCCGTGTCCGGTTGCGACGGGTCGAGGCAGTGACCGAGCTGAGGGGACGGAGGTGCGTGAGGAGCATCCCTGGTCCCACCGCCCGGCAGCGCTGCGGTTGGTGAGGGAGCGGTGTCCCAACCGAGGGGTTGGTCCGACCCCGGGGGTGCAGCGCCGAGCCGGCTTCGTCAGTTGAACAGTTCTATCTGGGATAGGGCCGCGTGCGGGGAAAAGGAATGGGATAGCTGTCCTTCAGAAGTTTATTAGGATAGACTCAAGTACTTGATCGTTCCGTCATAACCTCCTCTTTCTGCTCGTCCTAGTGGGACTGGTTAAGGCCTGGAGATGTCGACCCCCCCTCTGGCTGGGGCGGGGATGCCGCCGGGCGCTTTCTCGGGGACTCAGGCTCAGGCGGCCAGGGAGGTGAACACGGCTTCCCTCTGCCGCATCGGCCAGGAGACCGTGCAGGACATTGTGTTCCGAACCATGGAGATCTTCCAGTTACTGAGGAACATGCAGGTGAAAAATAGCTTTTTATTTTCACGGCCCTTGCTTCCCGTGTTGTTATCACTGACAGCCCGCATATACAGACAGAGGTGGCGGCTTAGGACGTTTAGATAACTCCATCAAACTGCTTTAAAAGGGAGGATTGACTGGAGAAGTGAATACTACTCTTAATGTATTTGTTTACTCCTGTAGATAAAGTGAACATGTAGAGTATTCAGAAATGCTGAATTACTGTCGCCCCCACAATAGATAAATTCTAAATGCACTTTGTAACTGTGTTTTCCTTTATGAATAGCAAAGTCTGCTTATATGCCAGTTGTGTTTCTCTATTTATGTTAACATACAGGGAATAATTTTAGAAGAATTTTCATTGATCTTTTTTGGTAATGTTTCCCACCTAAAACTGCTTTTTTTTTTCTTATAAAAATGGACATAGTCCTTATTTATGGCTACTTACTGAGAAAACATACAAACATCTGTTGTGTTCTCTCTCTGTGGAAAGCGGAAGATAAATAATAACCCCCATTCTTTCTGTTTTCATGACTCTGGTGTTACTGAATTTTGTGGCCTGGGGTTGAGACACAGACTCTCCAAGTGTAATACTTGGATCACAACAGTGTCATACTTAACCATTGTGAAGACACTCACTGAAAAGAGTTAGAGGGATTGGCAATGACCAAAGTATAGAATACATGAAGCTGTTTGACAACAGTGATTGAGCACATAAAATCCAAAATTTTACTGGTAAAGAAAATAAAAAAATCAGTGATTTCTGAGGGAATAATGGGATTGTCTGATTTTAAAATGTACAAAACTCCATCTGATTTCTTTTGGTCTGGTTATTTTGTGGGACAGAAGCTTTAATATTTTTAATATTTTCGTTCTCTTAAGTTACCAAATGGTGTTACTTATCATACTGCAACATACCAAGACAGATTGGGAAAGCTGCAGGAACATCTCCGTCAGTTATCAATACTCTTCAGAAAACTGAGATTAGTCTATGACAAATGCAATGAAAACTGTGCTGGGCTCGATCCTGTTCCCATAGAAGTAAGTATCTTTATGCATATATACATTACAGCTCGGAATAACGACTCTCTTCATAGCATATTGTCCATTCTCCTCAGTTGCAGGAGACTCATAACAAGTTTTAATGAGACTGGATATTAAGTGGACTGAATTCTGTTTATTAGTTAAAGCTGGTGGAAAAACTGCGAAACTTTCACATAACATCATCAATTCTTGCCAATTGGGAGGGATCCAATTTTGAAATTGAATCCCAATTTGAAATTTTCCCTCTGTACTCAGCGCTGGTGAGGCCACACCTCGAGTGCTGTGTCCAGTTCTGGGCCCCTCAGTTGAGGAAGGACATGGAGGTGCCGAAGCGTGTCCAGAGAAGGGCAATAAAGCTGGTGAAGAGTCTGGAGCACAAGTCTGACAAGGAGTGACTGGGGGACCTGGAGTTGTATAGCTTGGAGAAGGGGAGGCTCAGGAGGGACCTTCTCACTCTCTACAACTCCCTGAAAGGAGGTTGTGGCAAAGTAGGGGTCAGCCTCTTCTCCCAGGCAACAAGTGACAGGATAAGAGGAAATGGCCTCAAGTTGTGCCAGGGGAGGCTTAGGTTGACATTAGGGTTATTAAACACTGGAATGGGCTGCCCAAGGAGGTGTTAGAGTCACTGTCTCTGGAGGTGTTTAAGGAAAGACTGAATGTGGCACTTAGTGCCATGATCTAGTTGACAAGATCTCAGAGGTCTTCTCCAACGTAATTCATTCTTGGATTCTATAAAATCAAACTTGATTTAAAATTTTAGCCTTTTTCCTCAAGCTTCTTAGTTCCTTCATCAATTTGTTTCCCCTAGGAAAATGAAAGGATCAGGGTAGATTTTTTAAAAGAAGTGGGAAAAAGTGGGAAACAGCCTGCTTCGAGCTCTCACCTGTCAGCCTGGCTCCCTCACTAATAAACATTATTCTCTTTCTCTGACCATCAATCTGTGCCTCCTTAGTTGCCTCATTCTGCTGCTCCTAACCTGCTGGGCCAGTATGAACCAAACCTAAGTGTGCAGTGGTGATGAAACAGTTACAGCATCGGACTTCCAGGAAGGAGGATTGGCTAAAGTTTTTCCTAATAAAACTGCTATTCCTAGTAAAATCAAAACTTTGTTTTCTCCCTCATAAGTTAAGTTGTTTCTAATTCTTAGTAATACTCTTAAACCCGTTTTGTGTTATGACTCGAGTTACTACTGTGCTAATTATCCAGAACTGTGAAGTTCTTTAAATATTGACCTTTGGATTCGGAGGCAACTTTATTAACAGTCTTGTGATTGTCTGTTGAATTTTAACCATGTATGCATTTTATTTTGTATTTGAGTCTCTTCAATGAATAGGAATAAATAAATTAGGTTCATTCATTCATTCTGTACAGTCCAGTTTAGACTACTGCTTCTAGACTACTACTTCTGTCAACAGTCACTGCCCAGGGTTTTAGAGAAACCTGATAGCAAGGAAGGGATTAGGATAACTTTCTCATTTTAAAGAATAAAACTTTTTCCATGGTGTGTTGACTTGTGTGCAATAGAGTAAGCTTTTTTAATGCAATGTCTGACTGATAACTTAGGCACAGCAGAATTTTGTATCAATAGTTGGAATTCTTTCTTTTTAATCTGCGTAGTCTTTTCTGCTCTGAAGTTAGGAGGTGCCTGCCTGTCTCATGTTTTTACTGGTTAGGGTGAATGACAGTGGCACACCATTCGTCTTGGATCAATTTTCTTAAATTCTTCTTCCAGCATTTCAGTAATAGTCTCAATCATATTATTTTATGCTGACATTCTAACCATACCTTTGAAGAATATTTACAAAGCTCTTTTTTTTTTTACACAGTCAAGAGAAGTCAGTACCTGCTAATATTCCTTAGTCTATTATTATTGATATAAATGTTTTCACATTTTTTGTAAATTTGTACTACCGATATAATAAGTATGAGTAAATTTCTGTTAACCAATGTAGCAAGGCATGAAATAATTGTGAAGCAGATCTGGTTTAAATTTCCTGCTTTTGTGTGTTAGGTGTAATTTGGCTTTTCTTGATGGGTTTGTTTTTTTTCTAATACCTTTTCTGAAAGACGAGAGGTTTTCAAAGGAAGTGTTCTAGTTTGAGTGCTACTTTATTTTTCCATCAGAGAGAGGAGTTTTTTCCAAGAGTATTTAGGAGCCACACTACTTCTTTTTTATAGTCTGCAAATGTAGTAAGTGGTTAACCTTTACTACATTTTCATGACAAAGTTTAGTGTGGTAGTTTTTGTTCATTTTGTTAAGCTTAATAAGAGTGAACTACGGAAATTTTTGCATAGAAGGAAATTAAATTTTCAGTGGGTTAAATCAAAGTAAGTTTTCTATCAAAATGCTGAAGGAGGATGCTGAATGCTTTGAAATATTACACTCCAGCCTAAGTAACAAGTTAATATGGACTTGGTGAGCAGCTTGCTCCCAGGCTTTTGAACTAATGTCTTCTTGCTCATTTTCACCAATACTAGTCTTTCATTTGTCTGTAGTGTGTATGGGAACGTGGATGTAATTTTGCTTGGTTCAGGACAGAAAAAACAATGTTGCACTGTGGACACTGGATGTATGCTATGTATAAAATGCTACAGCTTATTATTTTTTAATTAGTTTTAGTAGCTTGGAAGTGTTCTGACACAGAAGCATGTATTTGTTTGGTACCTGCTATATTTGCTGATTCTTTTTAATTTATTTTCTTTTTAGGAAGGAAGCATACAGTAGTATTCATTTAGGGATACTTCATCAAAGATTTTTGGCTTTGTACAGAAATGATAGCACAATATGGTCTTTTCCAGCCTAAACAAAGCTATGATTCTGTGTGTCAGGGAAGATCACAGTGGGAAATACTTAGGGAAAAACTCCCTTTAGGTGACTATAGGCCTGGTCTTAAGAATAGCCAAACAGAGGTTCACTAAAATAGCAAGACATAGCTGGAGTATTAACTAAGTAGCTATTTAAAGCCAGTCATAATTATGGTTAGTATAGAATCATAGAATCATAGAATCAATGACCCATCAGGATCATTGAGTCCAACTCCTGGCCCTGCCCAGGACACCCCAAGAATCACACCATGTGCCTGAGAGCATTGTCCAAATGTTCCTTGAACTCAGGCAGGCTTGTGACCGCTTCCCTGGAGAGCCTGTTTGGTGCCCAACCATCCTCTGGGTGAAAAACATTTTCCTGATATCCAGCCTAAACTTCCCCTGACTCAGCTTTATGCTGTTTCCTCGAGTCCCCTTTGCTGGTCACGAGAGTGAAGAGATCAGTACCTGCCCCTCTGCTAAAATACTTTATAATAATGACAGGCTCTTGTTTGTGGTGTTTCATAGTGTGGAATGGTAAAATGTAAAATCACAATCTGCATATTTCAAAATACAAGATTTATCCATGATACACATCTTGAAATGGAAAGTGTGGGGTTTGCCTGCAGTTGTGAAATCGCTTGGGTCTAAGCATGGTAACAGGTGGGACTGTGTCCTTTTGAAGTGCATCATTTTCCTGGAGAACAAACTGAGGTTATTCCAAGGCCTTTGGGTTTGATGTGAAGAGCTTGTGTCAACTTTCATGTGAGCAGTTTGAACCTGTGGAGAAAATGGTAGTACCTTATTTATCTCCTGCATTTCATTTCTTTTTTTTTTTAATTTCTTCTTTTAATTTTTCTTTTTTTTTTTTTTAATAAAGCTAATATTTCTTGTCTTCACAGCAACTTATTCCGTACGTTGAAGAAGATGGATCTAAGCATGATGATCGTGGTGCTGCAAGTCAGCTTCGTTTTGCTACTGAAGAGAGAAGGGAAATTATGGAAGTAAATAAGGTAACAAAGTTAAATTAATTTGCATAAAATAGGAAATGGCACTTCGATGTCACAAAGCTTAAATTTCTAGATTCCTTTACTAAATGCAGAATGTCTGATGACTACCATCAAACCTGGGGATAATTACTTCTTGCACTTAACTATTTCAGAATTAACTTTCAGGAAACAAATTTGAGAGGACTTTTTTGTTTTGTTTTTTGTTGTTTGGTTGGTTGGTTTTGGTTTGGTTTGGTTTGGGTTTTTGTTTGGTTTGGGTTTGTTTGTTTGTTTTTTTAACTCTGGCTGTAGAGTTTGGGTTCCCTGACAGTTTTTACTTGTGCCTCTTTTAAAACCAACATATATTCTTTTGAACACAATGTATTATGTTTATGCTTAGCCCACTAGATATCAGCACTATAAACTGAGGTAAGGTGCCTGTTGAATTTATTTTTCTTCAAAACTTACCTCAAGTTTGAAAAAAAAAGGGTATTGTGTAAATATTGTTACAATTATTGAGTTGGTAAAGGCTTTTGTATTTTGACAGTCTGAGGAAGACCGTTCCTTTGTTAAGAGGAACATCTATTGAATCTTAACACATTCAGAAAAAAATGTGCTATGAATTATAAAGATGCTGTTAAATTTTCAGTTTGAGTGGCAGTCTGTAGTAGATTCAAATCTAAAAATAAATAATGCTAGAGTAACTGCTAATATAATATTGAGATTAAAATATGAAGTTTTGCCGGAACACAGTTTTGAACATTGTTTCTTCAATCTGTAAAGTACAAAGATAGGATTAATTAAATATTTCTATGGCTGTAATATCTGTAAATACTTAGTAAAAAGGAAGTATAATCTACAAAAATAACTGAACGAAGGAAATAAATAAATGAAATGTTTAATTTAGAGAATAATTGGTAGATTTTTAACTTTTAAAATATTTCCAGTATTTTAATTTGTCTTCAACACTCAGAGATGTATTGAATTTTTCATAACCCATTTATTTAGAAAAATAGGGACTACTTGAATTTAGAGAAAAACAGTTGTCAGCTTCCCTGTTGTAATTGTTCTCCTGAGTGCTGATATAGCATAGTTGTATATATTATATTGTATGCAGTGTTGTATTCTGAATTTATGCACATTTATTTGCAGTCTTTAAGTGTTAATAAGTTTAACTGTCCATATTTGCTGTGGTTTTAATAGTTCTGTGACGTGGGTTTGCCCTTGGTGTTGTACTTGCATGCTAATGTGTTTTTAAACCTCCTTGGTGTGATCTTGTGAAAAGAATTTCATAAATTTTTATGATGAGTTCTGAACCTTAAGAAGGTTGATGGTGTTACAGGACCATTGGTCGCGAACTGGTAATTAAGAATGCATTAAAACTTTCACTTAAATCTGGTCTGAAATCCTGTATTCACACCTAAATGCCAGACCTAGTTTTCCAGATTTTCTATAGTAAATCTTCACAAGATAGTTGAACTTTCTCTAATATTCCTGTGGACAAATACTTACTAACTACTGCAAAAGAAAGTTAAACTTCTTGTTTTTTGGAAGAGCACTGATTTTTTTCTTTTGTCTCCCTCCAGCTGTATTAGCACATCCACTACCACTTTCAGAGCTTGAATTTTAGTACTTTTCAGAATAGGAAATGCTTTGGGTTTTATGACTAGAAATAAAGAAATTCTTCTTTTTGCAAAGAAAAATCACTAGAATCATTATTAATTCATCTAATTTCTGACACTGGCTGCTGGGCTTAACTAACCCTCTCTGGTTCTTAGCTGGCATTCCTGATAGCTTTTCAGTTCCCCTATGGTACGTAACATCCAACTCAATTGGATTAATTTATTTTAGAAAAATTTCATGATGCAAAATGTTGATGAAGATGCTGTGGTAGGGAAACCAACATTACAGATGAGGAAACTTTTTATATTTTTGACCCGCTGTCATCGTTCAGCTGTTGTCCTGTTCTCACATAATCCTTTTTGCTGTGATAGGCAGCATTTTTTCAATCTTGGCTGTCATTGGTACCAAAAAAAGCATTGTTGCAATTTCCCAATACTTTGACACTGTTGAGATATTTGAGTTCTTAGACCTGCCGTGGTTCGCTTAATTTTACCCTCCTTCCTGTGATATCTCAGCCAGTCTGATTTCTTTAGTGGCTCTGGATGTATGTGAAAGGCACTAATTGCCCCTCAGTGTAGAGCTCAGACACAGCTAGGAGTAGCTCATACAAATCTTGTGGATCATGTATTCTCACACAAAAATGTCCCTCATTCCATGAACCACTGACCTGAAACATGGCAGCTCTGCTTTGCTGCTGCAGTTGTCTCGTCAGGGCATCCTCAGTGGAGGAGGAGAGGAGCATCAGGTACTTCCTGTACTCACCATCTCATTCATGGGGCAGGAGAATCTGTTGATGTGACCCTAAATACTGCAGGAGCTTTTGGTATTGGTTTACTGTGTAGTGACATCTTTCTGCTGTGTTAGGCTTATATTTTAGGTCAGAAAGTTTAATGCGCTCACCTTGGCTGTGGAAGTGCTTGTTTGTTAATTTAAAATATAGATCAGTTTACAAGGTAATGAATTTCTGTCCTAGCAATTCAGTAGTAATTAGCAAATGTAGGTTTAAATAAAACCCATTAAGCTTAATACCAGAAGGGAGTTTTGCCAGCACTAAGAAACATATACAAAACAAACAAACAAACAAACCAACCATTTCTTGAGCACTGAGCTACTTCTACCTTTTGTACTAAACAATTCTCTGTTGCAGTTCCCAAAAATGCAGCTTATTCTTTTTTAACTGTATTTGCTTTCTGAGCTTGTAAATTGTTGGGATGGTTGACTCTCTTTTGGAATAAATAACTCACTGTTCCAGAATCGGTTAAGCATTTGCATTGGTTTACTAGTGCAAGTCTTGACCCAGTTTTCATTGAGATTAATCTATTTGCAACAAGTGGAAACTGTTAACAAGATTTCCTCACTTGTCTTCATATTTTTCAAGAGTTTAATGTTCAGTCTACAGATTTTTTACCTTCTAAGTATAGCATCATCAGTATTATTTTCACCTAAGGCTCACCTTAGGTCTGTAGTCTTGTAGTACATTTGACAGGACTTAGAAAATAACAAATCAGAAACTGAGAATGCTTTAGTCTGTGTGGAGCAAGTGCAGCTTAGGTTTCTTAGGTGCTGTAGGTCTGGTTTCAAATGAAGCACTTAGGAAAACTATGACGTAATTAGTAGTCTCAGTACATTTGGATGAAAATGAAATGATGTGAAATAGCATTAGGACATTCCAGGTGACTCTTCAGAAAACAGTCGTGTCTGATATTCTTAATTAACATTTGCTAAGTGTTTAACAGTGATCTTGCTAAGAGAGGAAAAGACAATCTATATGACAGACTTTTAAGTTAAGCTGTTATGAGTTTAGCTCTGGGCTTTTTTTTGATAACATAAACATTGTGCACTGCAGCTGATGTTGTTTAGGGAAGTATCCTTAAAATGACAGCAATTTGCAATTAGTCTTTCTCTTCGGAAAACTTTACTTTTGAACTATGCTGAAAACCTAAATTCCATTTAAACTACTTTCCCTGTACTTTTGTTTTATATGTGTAGAGTCCTTTTTCACCCAAAATACGAATGTGCACCAAGGAATACTTTGGCAGGAGGGGAAGAATTCTTTATTTGGACACCTTCTTGGTAGATTAATCTGCACTAGAGACAGTTCCATCATGTTTTGAGTACCCAAACTGGCTCTCTGCGGTGGTAGAATCAGAGGACTTTAGGCTCGGTGGGAGGTCTGGAGGTTATCTACTGCAGTCTCTGGCTCAAAGCAGGGTCAACCAGCAAAGTTAGATCCTGTTGCTCCAACTCATATTCCAGTAGCATTTCAAATATCTGTAAGGATGGAAATTCTGCCTTTTCTGGTCTCTTCTTAAGGGTTGACTTCCACTGTGAAATTTTTCCTAATGTTACATTGGAATTTTTTCATAACTCGTATATCCACTTTCCCTCATCCTTTTGCTGTGTACATTCAAGAAAAGTCCAGCTTTGTCTTTTCTATGATCTTCAGTATATAGCTGAAGACAGTGATCATGCCTTTTGGCCTTCTCTGCTTGAGATGGAACAAATACAGCTTTACTCATCTTGGTGGCCTTCCACTAGGCATTATTCAGTATGTTAGTGCTTTATATTGATCCCCAAATTGGACAGTTGTTCTGCAGAACCAAATAGAGGGGAATAACAATTTCACTTGACCTGATGGGTGCACTCTCTCTAATATAGCACAGTGTGCAGTTAGTCTTCATTGTTGCAAAAAGATCTGCAGCTGACTCATGTTCAACTTGTCAAAAAGTATCAAAATTACCCCAGATCCTTTTCTGCAAATGTGATTTGTATTCAGTCAGCTCTCTGCCTGTGCTGTTGTGTGAGTTTATTGTGTGTGCAGATGTAGGATTTTGGTTTAATTGAAGTTCCCAAGGTAGGTCCCTCTGAACCAGATATCCTACCACTGAGTATATTTATCACATTCCCCTACTTGGCATTGTCCACAAATTTGATACAGTGATTAGGTCAGTAAGTGTGGATTAATCATTAATGAGGATATTAAGAATACTCACCTTAGTATCAATCCTGAGAAACTTCAAGAGTGACCAGCTACCATTTGGTCTTAATACTGATGATCCCAGCATTTAGAATCCCATATCCCTGACAGTTTTCCATCAATCTTGTAATCCACCTATCCAAACCATATCTCTCCAATTTGGCTACAAGACTATGAGAGATTGTGTCAAAAGCCTGACTAATATGAAAGTAAAGAAAAGCTCCTACTCTCCCCTTGCCACACAGCCAGTCACTACTCAGTAGAAGGACATCATGTTTTTCAGGCACAGCACATCTTTGGTAAATCCAGGGTGACTGTTTCCAGTCACCATGACTTTATCATTCTTATGTCTGGACACGACTTCCAGAAGGGTTTGCTTCATAGTCTTTCTGGAGTCAAGGGTTAGGCTAACCAGCCTGTAGTT